CTGGTCGTTGGTGAGCATTTGCCGCGGGCACCCCGCTGTTGGGCAGGTGGCAGCTGGACTGTGGCCTCCTTGGCCTGTTCTGTGGTTCTGGGACGAGTCTGCCAGTCACGGGAGTCCTGCCAGCAAGGGGTGCTGGTCCGGCGGCTGCAGTGTCAGCCACCTGGCTGCAGAGCGAGCCCTGGTCACCTGGGGGACCCTTTGGTGGCCTTTGCCGCTGTGTCCCCAGGGGCAAGGCAGACTTCCCGGCTCCCGCTCCCGGCCTGAGAGCTGCCGGGAGATTCCTACGGCTCCCCTAGCGATGGGAGAGGCGGGAAAGGGCTCTGGCTCTCTGGGGCCATTTAAAGAGCAGCTACGTTTTATTCTGTTTTCAATGCCTCTAACTGGAGTCAGATAGTGAAGAAAGTAGTCTTCGTGTTCATTGGAAGAATCACACGTATATATTACAAGTAACACTGACCTCTCTACACAGACTTACTGAACTCTTGACCGTTTTCATTACCTTTCCAGGTTTTTTAGGAAAGGAAGTTTTAGTTCAAATGCTAGCCTGGCATTGTTCTTTTCTCTGGCAATTGTTTTAAAAATGGGGTAGTTAGGTTATGAAACTTGAAATGCTACTTTTCCCAGAAATTCTTCTGATAGATTTGTGTAGGGGAGTAATAATTGGCACGATACTGCAGGCGGAAGCTGACCCTTCACTTAGAATTAAGACAAGCCCTTTATTTCAACATACTCAGTTGGTCATCGTAACTTACTGTATTGAGGTCAAGACCGCCTGTGATCTGTTTGACGTTCTTGTCCAGGGGCTGAGGGAGGAGCCGCTTGGGGAACGTGCCCTCTGGGGAGTTTTCCCACATCCGGCCTTTCTTTGTTGAGTGTCACTGGCCCGTCCCCCGTGCGGGGCTGCCTCCCCGATGGGCTGACGAGCTGACGAGCTGACGTCCAGGTGCTGGGCCACTGCTCCTTGGCGGCCGGCCGGGAGCTGACCTGAGGTTGGTGTTACCTGCAGGTGCTGCTGAACTGGACCCACGTGTCCCTGGCGTTTCCATTATCCTTTAGCCTCGTGCTAGGCTGATAGCAAGAACACAGCACCAGAACCCTCGCCTTTCTCTTGCCCGTCACTTTGTAGCCGTAAGAAAAGAGAGTATTTGTTTTCATGACAGTAGAATTAAAACAACTTATACATATTTTTAAAACCAAAATGTGAAGGCATGGCTTGCATTAAGAGAACTTGAAATTCATTGTTAGCTCAGCGTTTTTTCAGTCTGTATGTAGCTAAGAGTTATGGGCCGGAGATGCACGGTCAGGGAAGTTCCTGTCCACACGCGGTGATGAAGGTGTGCACCCACAGCGAAGCAGCAGCCTGGCTCTCCAAGGTCAGGAGCCTGCGCCGTCTGCACTCGCGTTTTGTCAGCCTCCCTGGCAGCTCAGAGCGATGGGAACAGCCTGTAAGAATGCGGCTGCCTGTCCACACGCGTGTGCCTGTGCATTTGAGATTATGTGTACTTACGTCCATCATGAACCATGAAAATGCACATTTTAAAATTGTAAGGTGTCATAATTAACCTTGATAAATTACCTCTTATTAACAGTGCATTAAAACTTTTGATTTCACTTTATAATGCTATCAGTAATAATTGAATATGCCTTCTTTATTTCTGAAAAGCGTTTACCTGTGCCACACAGTAATTCAGACGCATGTGAATTCCGCGTCGGTCTCATTCAACACGCACCTCAAAGTGTCTGTTGAAATCGCTGGTGAATTCCCACCCTCCGTGGGGTCGCTCAGTTCCTACGTCAGTGGCTGCAGGGCAGGCTGTGTGCGCGAGGATAATGCTAAGCCTACGGAAAGTAGACGGATTTGAGAACAAATAGAAACAGAAGAGCCGGGGGCGGCTGGGCCTCTGGGGACAGTGTGTGGGGCGAGGCGCCGAGCAGTGCTCTGAGCCAGGATGTCGTGGGCATCAGAGGTGGCCCTGGTCCCAGGGCGTCCCTCAGCGGGGACGGGGACGACGCTTGCTCAGCTCCTCCTGCTGCCCGAGAGCCGCCGGCAGACCCGCAGGGCCCCGGCAGGAGCAGCGAGCACATGGCCGTTTTGGTGCATGTTTATTGGCCTGATATTTTTTGAATTCTTGATCCCCTTCTCATTTTTAAAAAAATATATTTTATTGATTTTTTACAGAGAGGAAGGGAGAGGGATAGATTAGAAACATCAATGAGAGAGAAACATCGATCAGCTGCCTCCTGCACAACCCCCACTGGGGATGTGCCCGCAACCAAGGCACATGCCCTTGACAGGAATTGAATCCGGGACCCTTCAGTCCACAGGCCAACGCTCTATCCACTGAGCCAAACCAGTTAGGGCTCATTTTTTTTTTTTTTTAACACACGGCCCCGTCGGCAGGTGTCTGGGGGCCTGGGCGTCAGCCATGCACAAGGGCGGCTTCAGCCCAGGGCCTTCCTCGGAGGGTGACCTTCCTGGGGCCACGCTTGTTCCTAAACTTCAGAGCAGCAGCCTGGTCGGCAGGAGGGGGAGGCAGGTGCAAGAGCCAAAAACGCTTCAGGAATTCAAGCAGTGGAACCTAGAAGAGGCGCCGGGTAGAAGTAAGGTTCCTTCGTTTATAAGGATGTTAAATGAAAATGTGGGATTTTGAGTCATGAGCTAAACTATTTTTTAAATCTTGCTGAAGGTTAAACGCCTTTTTTCTGTAGCGCAACTGCAAATAAATAGAATGCGAGACGAATGTCACGTCTAGTGAATCTCATGCCTTCTGTGCAGTGGGGCAGCCGGGCTCACTGCAGGTGGGAAGTAACGTGGAGGAAGCAGTCCTGTGAGCCTGGGCAAACGAAAGCCCACGCCTCGAGTGCTTCTTCCGAACAGTGTCCTCCGGGTAGAACGATTCATTGTAAAAGTGTTTTCAGATCCAACGCAAGTTCAGTTTAGAAATATAAGTTCTGTATTTGCTCTGTGAGATGAAGCTCTAAGCATCTGTTTCTAATAATTCCGTTAAAATATGCGGAGTTGTATATTTTTAGAGAATCTGTTTTGAAAAGATGCCCAGATATTTGTTTGAACAGGCACAGAGCATCTCGATGGAAACTGTTGGAAAAGGAAACTTTCCGAGTCATTCCCGCTCAGATACTCGAGCCCGCTGAGCGGGTAGAGGTAGCACCTGGGTGGGTGCCGGGCAGCCAGCAAGGCAGCGCCCCCGACCCCTGCCCGCAGCCCAGGGCGGACCTGACTCCACCGCGGCTCAGCAACGGCGGCCAGTGGGACGTCCCTGTCCCTGTGTCGGTGCCGCGCTCGTTGGTCCTGTTGGTGCGCCAGGGCTGGTCTCCGTCCCCGCTCTAAGGCGACATCGAAGCTGTAATTCCTCTTGAACTTTGGGGTGTCATTGCTGCAGAACAAGGAAGCCCTGTAGGATGCGACCTCCCAGGGTGATTACACGTCTCCCGGACATACGTTTTTTAAAATGTTTCTTTTGATTTTTAGAGAGAGGGGAAGGGAGTGAGGTAGAAACATCCATGAGAGAGAAACATCATCGATTGGCTGCCTCCTGCACGCCCCCTACTAGGGATTGAGCCTGCAATCCAAGCATGTGCCCTGACCAGGAATCAAACCAGCGACCTCTTGGTTCATGGGTGGATGCTGAACCACCGAGCCACGCCAGCCGGGCAGACATCCTGTTTCTGCATTGCTGCTTAGAACTGCTGAGTGTCAGTCCTAGTCTAAATTACACAGGACGGCACGATGCGGGGGGAGGGGGGGGCCTTCTCAGGCTACTCATGTGTAAGCAGGGCCGGCGTATTCCGCCTCTGACCCTCACTCTCCTCCCGTCCACGTGAGGTTTATGGAAACCACTTGCTTCACTTCGCTTCTCTGCCCAGTTTGGAGAGCAGGTCAGGCGGTCTCGGTGCCCATGCGTTTGCACTGGCGAGGGCTCTGCTTCGATGTGTGTTGGGTTAAAGTAGAACGTACCCTCCGTATCCGAGGGCTCTGGTGGGGAATAAATAATAAAAGAAAGACTCAGAGATTCTGTGCTAACGAGAGACTAGACTGCGCCTCGCAGCTATCCCACCGTTTCTCTGAAACAGCAGGAATTAGACCTTAGTCCTAGGTTCCCGCGTGTTTCCCACCAGACAGCAGTGTCTTCAGAGGTGACTCCGTTCTATGCGTCTTAAGCTTCCCTCAGAGCTGTGAGTGCAGAGCAGTCACACGGAACCAACGACAAAAGCCCTGGCGGCCTTTCCCTCCTGAGATGGCAAGTTCCTGACAGCGCGGGGTGCAGGTCGTGGTGCCCCGGGGCCTGGGCGTCCGCAGAGGAGGGAGTCCTTCCGTGCCTCTGCCTGGCCTCCTTGGGGTAAGGGGACCCCTGGACCGTTAGAGAGCAGACGGGGGTTTCGGGGAGGCGCTGAAGTGATTATTGAAACGCAGAACCTGAGTTTTGGGGACAGGGTATGAGGAGGAGCTCGCACACTAGGGTGCATCGCCGAATTCCAAACAAAGTAGAACTCGGCACAAGTGAGAGCTGGCGTCTGGATGTCCCATTGGCCGGTCCCCGGGGCCAGCCGTGCGGGGGACGGTGGGTCACTCGGCCTGGTCCGGGGCGACCCAGCCACAAAGGAGTAAGGAGCACAGGGACCTTCTTGTCCATCGTTCTCTGACTCAGCGCCAGCAGCTCTGTGGGAGAAGCCCAGGCTGGTCTGAGTTTGATTGTTGAAAACTGACAGCTGCTCTGTTTCTTTGCAATAGTGGCTTGGAGCTCTGTGTTCTGCCTCCTCTTGCTGAATGTCTCAAGCTTAAAAAAGGCAGCTCAGCGGCCTGGTGTCGTGGGCAGAAGCGCAGGGGCTGGAGAAGGCTCCCTTTGTTCGCTTCCTGCCCGCGTGGGAGGGAGCCTTGCCCGGCGCCTCCGTCTCCCTGGCCCGAGGCCTTTCCATGGAGGGCAGGACGCCCTTGTCTTCAGCCTCCAGGATGTTCTTTGTCAAGTGCCTTCCCTCCTCAGGCCTTTCCACGTGGAGCCCACCCACATCGTCAGCGTGAGTGGCGTCCTGCAGCGGGTCAGCGACCGCGCCTCGGCCATGAACAAGAGGATTCACTACTACAGCCGGCTCGCGGCCCCCGCGGACCAGGCGCTGGTAAGGCCGCGTCCCCGCCTGGCCGAGTCGATGAACGTGAGCAGCACCGGGCGGCTCCGGGGCTGGACCTCGCTGGGCACGTTCCAAGGGTGGCGTCATGGAAAGTCCGACGGGTTCGCTGGTACACGCCGCCCCTCCCGCTGGCTCCTTCCTGCGGGGCCTGGCACTCGGACAGCCTCTCCGTGTCGACAGCAGCCGGGAGTTTGCTGTAGGGGAGGCTGCTCACCCCGTGCTGGGGGCCCACGGGCCATGGGCTGCTGACTCTCAATCTCCTAAGGTCCCTATTGCTAGTTTAGGATCAAAAATACTTGTTTTAAGTGACTTGGTTGTCTGTAAGAAGTAGCACATTTGAGATATTCAGAAACTGCAAAGCTTAGAGAAAAGCGGAGGCTTTCCGGGAGAAAAGACGATGCTTTTTTATCAGTAATAATAAAAGAGGAGGGAGCAGCGTTCTGTAGGCTTGCTGAGGGCAGGGCTGGGCCAGTACTCACGTGCATAGCTCACTCTAAGCGTTGGAGGGATTAAGACCTTCTGAGCAGCCAAAGGAGGGGCTTCCAGAACATTCTGGAGAAGACGATTTCCCCAGCTTTTCACTTGTTCCTCCCCGAGGCCTTTCCATTCGTGGTGGCGATAAGTCGTGGTTTCATACCAGGATTATGTCAGCCTCCGGGAGCGAGAAGCAGCCAGTATCTTCAGATCTGGCCGGACGCCTCCAGGCTCTACCTGTGGAGGCAGCCGTGGCCGGGCCCGGCCGGCCGGGCTGTGTGGTTTGCTGGAAACTGAGTGAGCACACACCCCCGGGAGCCTGTGAAGGGCTGTGGGATGACAGGTGTGTCCAAGCACATGGTCTAAAATTAGCCATCGATACAGCCCTTTTCAATGAATGTGTTTATCCATCATCATTTTCGAGAATCCCAGTTTCCAAAGGACTGTTCTGGGGGGGGGGGGGGGGGGGGTGTGTGTGGGAGGGGGGGAGTGGGGGGGCTGAATCCCATCAGGAAACGACTTTTCCTCGGAAAGAGGGAGGCAGCGCTGGGAGGACGTGGACAGGGGGTGGGCTCTGGTGAGAGCCCCCGTCCATCCTCCCCTCTCCCTTCACCTCTGCAGGCCCTCCCTCTGGCCTGCATCCTCCCTCCTTAAGAACCCGTGCGTGGCCTTTCCTTAAGCTGCTCTGGCCCACCCTGTCCTTCAGCCACCACAGCGTCTGCGTGGCCTGCCCGCAGTATTCCTCCTCTGCTGGCGACTCCTGCATCCCTAACGGAGGGCGTCCCCTCCCCGCCTCGGCCGACACCCCACTAGGAGTCCAGTCACCCTTTCTTCACGTGCCCCCAGGGGAGGCCAGGGCTCACCTGGAGCCTCCTGACCCCGGTCTCCCGGCCCCCTCTCCTCTCCCCTGAACTGAAGAGCTGGGGACTCGCCTCCTTTCGGACGGAAGGTCTCCGTGTCCGGTCCTCACTGCTCGCCCCTGTAGGTGTTCACCGTGTTTAACGGAGAGCTGAGTGTGTGGATCGGGAGGTTTCTGTCGTTGGCTCGTGACGCTTGGACGTGCGCTCTCCTGCGCGGCTGTGCCGGCCCTCAGTTTGTCCGTTTCGCAGGTTGCCCCGGACCACGTGGTCCCGGCCCCGGAGGAGCGCTACGTGTACAGCCCGCTGGGCTCCGCGTACAAACTCCAGAGCTGCCCCGAGGGGTCCGGGAAGAACACCAGCCTCGTGACCATGTGAGTCGCCTGCTGTCCGCGCCGCACTGAGCCCGTGCGGGAGCTGCTCCCCTCCCCCCGCTGTCCCCGCAGCACTGAGCCCGTGCGGGAGCTGCTCCCCTCCCCCCGCTGTCCCCGCAGCACTGAGCTTGTGCGGGAGCTGCTCCCCTCCCCCCGCTGTCCCCGCAGCACTGAGCTTGTGCGGGAGCTGCTCCCCTCCCCCCGCTGTCCCCGCAGCACTGAGCTTGTGCGGGAGCTGCTCCCCTCCCCCCGCTGTACCCGCAGCACTGAGCCCGTGCGGGAGCTGCTCCCCTCCCCCCGCTGTCCCCCGCAGCACTGAGCTTGTGCGGGAGCTGCTCCCCTCCCCCCGCTGTCCCCGCAGCACTGAGCCCGTGCGGGAGCTGCTCCCCTCCCCCCGCTGTCCCCGCAGCACTGAGCTTGTGCGGGAGCTGCTCCCCTCCCCCCGCTGTCCCCGCAGCACTGAGCCCGTGCGGGAGCTGCTCCCCTCCCCCGCTGTCCCCGCAGCACTGAGCCCGTGCAGGAGCTGCTCCCCTCCCCCCGCTGTCCCCGCAGCACTGAGCCCGTGCGGGAGCTGCTCCCCTCCCCCCGCTGTCCCCGCAGCACTGAGCCCGTGCGGGAGCTGCTCCCCTCCCCCCGCTGTCCCCGCAGCACTGAGCGCGCAGCACTGAGCAGTGCGGGAGCTGCTGAGGGCTTTTCTCTAATGAAGGTGTTTGAGGAGTCAGCTCCCCTCCCCCTGCTGTCGCTCTGTTTTCAGTTTCATGATCTGGAACACCATGATGGGGACCTCGATACTCAGTATTCCTTGGGGCATAAAGCAGGTAATGTCCTTTTTCAGCTAATTTTAGCCTGAATTCTTTTTCTTTCTGTGCGGTAAGTCTTGCAGTAGAGGTTTTAATAAATCCACATCAATTTTTTAAAAGACAGTAGATGAGAATACTTAATTTTACATGAAGTAGAATGTTTTCATCGTCCTTGTTTACCAGGTTTTTATCATAATTACTTAGGGCAGCGTCACATGGCAGCATGAGTGTTCGCTCTAACGCAGCGGTTCTCAACCTGTGGGTCGCGACCCCTTTGGCGGTCGAACCACCCTTTCACAGGGGTCACTAAGACCGTCCTGCATATCAGATATTTACATGACGATTCATCACAGCAGCAACATGACAGTGATGAAGTAGCCACGAAAGTAATTTTATGGTTGGGTCACAACATGAGGAACTGTATTTAAAGGGCCAGAAGGTTGAGAACCACTGCCCTAACGCATTTTATTTCCCATAGGCGGGATTCACGACCGGGGTGTGCATCATCCTGCTGATGGGCCTGCTGACCCTGTACTGCTGCTACCGGGTGCTGCGGTCACGAGCCACCATACGTAAGCGCAGCCCAGGGAGGACAGGCGGGCAGGCGTAGCCGTCCTGTGGAGGGAGCCGCCAGCCTGTGCCTCCTGTTGGTGCCTGAAGCTTGCTGCTTTGCTCCTGGCCTTGGGCTGACCTAGGGCTGCCCTTGGCGGTCAGAGAGGCCGCGGGTTCTCTGCAGAACACACTCACTTGGAGTTAGTTCCGTAGCAGGAAGAGTCACATTGGTAAACTGAGGTCTTTGCAGGAACTAAACTTAGAAAGCGATGATGCTGCTTCCGTTAACGGTGACTTGTTCTGACCTATCCCGACCGAAAGACCTAAATGTTGGTCTCTCCTAAAAGTAGAAATTATAACTAGAAAAGTATAAAGATGTGAGCAATGTGTCCTTTATAGCGAATTCTAAAAATTACACCAGCACATTTCCTCCCCTCACCTCTCTACACCCTGGACCAGGGAGACACCTTCTTGGATTGTGTAAAGTAACGGCCCTGAACGGGCTCACATTATTCACTTGACTCTTAGCCAGGATGAGTCAGCAGCCCGCACCACCCCGTTTTCTGTCTCATGAGCAGTGGTGTATTTTCCCTTCATTGTATTATTCATATCCCTGCCCTTTACCCACAAGTCCCTCGGTGCTCTTGTAGCTCTGCCAGGTTCTTTATCTGATGTAGCCATTAGCCCTTTATCTATTACTCCTTGTCAATTTTTTCCCATCAGTGTTTGAATGGCTTTTTTATTACGTGGGTTTGTTTATATCTGCCCATCTTGTCCATTGTAATTCAGTTGGTAGAACATGTAATTCATGTTCTGTTTCTACACTGTCTTCTAACTTTGCTATAATTTAATTTTTAAAATCCTTTTTTAAAGGTTTTTTTTTTTATTGATTTCAGAGAGAAGAAGGGAGAGGGAGAGAGAGAGAGAGAGAGAGAGAGAAAGAAACATCAATGATGAGAGAGAATCATTGATCGCTGCCTCCTGCACATCCCCTACTAGAGATCAAGCCTGCAACCCAGGCATGTGCCCTGACCAGGAGTCGAACCATGACCTCCTGGTTCATGGGTCACGCTTGGCCACTGAGCCACACCGGCCAGGCTAATATTTTCAATTCTTAACTCAGTTGTGTGAAGCTTAACTTGGCATGTGTGGTTTAAAGTATCACCCAAGAAAACTGTTCTCCTTATTATCTAAACAGGATGCCTCTGTCCCTTTACTAAGGATGTTGTCTAGCGGAGGCTTATCCTGTGCTTTTATGGGTGACACTCTGTTACTACACCGTTCTCTGTTCCTCAGAGTGTCTGTCCTCTTCCGTTGACCTACATTTATTTTTATGTGTTTGTTCTATGTTCTCGTTTCTGTTATTTCTTACTACGATCTGCTGTCGGGTGCTGTAACGCCCACCGTCTTTTCCTAAACATTCTGAGTTCATCTGGGGGAACAGATGATGAGTGTGGACTGTGGAATTGGCACCTGATTTTATCCTCCTCCTCTTTCCTCAGCGTCGGTGGACACCGCGGCCTGGGAGTTCCCCGACGTCTGCAGGCACTACTTCGGCGCCTTCGGGCAGTGGTCCAGCCTGCTGTTCTCCCTGGTGTCGCTCGTCGGAGCCATGATTGTGTACTGGGTGCTCATGTCTAACTTCCTGTTCAACACCGGGAAGTTCATGTTTAGTAAGTACCCACCGCACGTGCTTTCCGTTCCTGCGGTACAATAACTCCTGTCATGGCTCAGTTTCCACCGTAAATTCTGGGCTTGGGGTAAATAAAGAAAAGGTATCATGTGTAATTCTAGAAAATACGCTTGACTCAGCTTGTTTTCTGTGGTTATGATCTCAACTATAATGTGTATGCTCATTGGCAAAAACTAATTTTTGAATCAATTATGTTCCTTCCAATTCTCTAATTACTATAAAACATATTAGGCTCCCGCAGCTACTTTAAGCACTGTTTCCATCTCTCCCACGAGATTTTAGTACGACCCAGCCCGTGGAGTTCACAGGTTCTGTTACTAAAGAATTGGACGTGTAGAGTCTCGGGAAGCAAACTCCAGTCACTGGTCTTCAGAGCATTAGGGTCTCAGTCAGGAAACAGTGCTGTGCACAGGCTCCTGGGCTGGGCGTGGGGAGATGCTGTGCAGCCTGGGGCACTTGTCAGGGCTTTCCTGGCTCCTGGCTCCTGGCCTGCGTGGCGTGGGCGTCGGGACCGCCACGAAGATCCACAGCTTCTCATCTCGGGTCGCTGGCCACCCCTGGAGAGGCTGTGAAAGCCCAGAGCACGAAGCTCCTTTCCTTCTGCCCTGACACGCGTGCGATGGAGGCGAACCAGTCATGTGTTTAACCTATTTTATGACCTTGAGATCGGATCTAACATCTTTACCTCCTCTCTCAAGCTTTAATCAAACAGGCTTATTAGTGCTTCCTGGGTTATACAAGGTTAGCACCACGCAGAACAAGCCAGCCTCTCAGGCCCTGCCCGCCCTGCCCGGCCCTCCCATGGTCCTCGCCTGCCGGCTCGGGGTGCACGGGGCGCTGTGGGCGCTCAGGACCACGTGACCTGGTCTGTGAGAGCACCTGCTGTGCTGTGTGAACTTCAAGTGATTTTCCAGATCAAAGTCCCTTGTGTTGACTTTCCCTGTTGCAGACTTTAGACCCTTCTGTAAGGTGTGACCAGCTTACATGCGTCAGCGAGAGCAGAGGGGGAGGTGCACGCATGATCTTTATCCGGGCTCTTACCTAGATTCAGCCTCTGGCGGATGTTTAAGAACCTCGGTCAAGTGCCGTTTTCACAGCAGGACAGGGACGCCAGGGACTTGCCTGTGGGAGGAGGCCGAGCGTCCACGCTGTGTGTGGCTGAGGGGGTCTGGTTCCGTGGTCAGCAGTGCTGCCCCCCACATGACTTTAACAGGTCGTGACAGATAAAAGGCTTTAGCGGTGATCAGTTTAGCATCTCATTCAGGATTATCGAATTGTGTTTTTCCTTAATTTTCAGATTTTATTCATCACATTAATGACACAGATGCTGCACTGAGTACCAATGATAGCAACCCTGGTAAGTAGTGTGAAACTTAACGTTTTTTATTCCCCACTTTGCTTCAGAATAGATTTAAGGTAGAAATTATGACTTCGTTTTAGGTAAATGATGATCACAAAACCATTACCACTGTGTTAACTGGGCCATTATCAAATTGTTGGCCATCAGTGTGTTTTAAAAAAGCGCAAGAAAGCCAGCTCCACGCCAGGTTGTGCTGATGTGAGGTGAGGGACGCGCAGGGCCTGTGCACAGCTCACAGCGTGGCCACGTTGCCGGCCCGTGTTTGCCTGTGAACACTCAGCACGTGTTTCACGCGCCTGGACCCCTGCCCCGGGTTTGGTCCGGGGCACGTTCTCAGTTTGCTGACTCAGCTTTAGGCACTTGGTGCTCAGTCACTGATACTAAGGCGCACACGCCTGTATTCTGTGGAGTAACTCCCTTCCTGACGGTGAGCAGCAGTGAACACGCATGGACTGGCGGTGCGCCTGCGCTTCCTGCGGGTGGCGCTGAGGACGCCGCCCTGAACGTCTCACGGCTGTGTTCTCCCCGGAGCGGCCTTCAGGGGAGCCGCTGAGCCCGGGGCAGGGTGGGCTGGGTCCCATCCACGGACAGAAGTTGCCACGTCGTCAGTGCTAGGAAAATAGCTCACTTTCCCGTTCCCTGGATAACGTCTGGGCTCCCGGCTGCCATGAAGTGGGATAAATTCCAGGAGAATGACTCTGGATTCCTGGAATTCAGGATTCCTACGCTCTGACCAATGATTAGGTGTTGGCAGTACCGTGACAGCTACTTCAGCGATGTCCGCTTTTTATTCCAAAACCAGAGATGACTTCACTGTCCTTTGGCCGTGGGGGCAGTCGCAGCACAGCCACCCTGAGCGGCGTCCCTGAGGTCATTACACACACGAGCTCAGATGCTGGAGCCGATCAGATGCCCCCGCCCAACGCCTTTGGTCCCAATGTCTGCTCTCTGGCCGTGGAGTCAACGGGGCTTGGGGGAGCATCTCATAGTTCCCAGTAGAAATGAGGGGTGTGCCTGCACATTCTCTAACATTCTTCCCCTCCATTGTGTCTAGGTAAGAGGCTTATAGTATCTAAGGATAAGCCTCCGTCTTTCCCAGAGAGGAGGGACGGGGTGTTGGGGTGCAGGCTGAGGCTGGGCCCGTGTGCGCCTCCGGGGGTCCTGTCTGCTCCCCGCACTCTCCTGACCGACGCCGCCTTCCCGTTGCAGTGACCTGCCCGAGCGCCGGCAGCGGCCGTCCCAACAATGGCTCTGCCATCTTCTCCGCCAACGCCACGGGCCTGCAGCAGTTTGAGAGGTGGTGGGACAAGTCCCGGACGGTGCCCTTCTACCTCGTAGGGCTGCTCCTGCCGCTGCTCAACTTCAAGTCGCCGTCCTTCTTCTCCAAGTTCAATGTCCTGGGTGAGCTGAGGTGCGCGGCGGGTGCAGGGAGCCTCCTGTGCCCGTGGCGGTGCCTGGGCGGGGGGGGCTACCCCGGCTCACCCTCTGGGTAATTACTCAGGCTCACAGTTCCCGCTCTGGGGCTTGCTCTTTGTTTCGTTTCGGTTTTTGTTGATCCTCACTCACCCCCAGGATATGTTTCCATTGATTGTTAGAGAGAGGGGAAGAGAGAGGGAAAGACAGAGAGAGACGCTGATGTGAGAGAGACACATCAACTGGTTGCCTCCTGCACACACCTCCCACTGGGGCTGGGGATCAAGCCTGCAACCAAGGTATGTGCCCTTGAGTGGAATCGAACCCGGGACCCAGTCCAAGGGTCGACCTTCGATCCACTGAGCCACACTGGCTAGGGCTTGGCACAGAGGAAACGATGATGACGGTTTCAAATCTAGGTCCTTCCCAAGGCAAGTCGCTGGCCCTCCACTGCCCTCCCTGAGCAGCGCTTCCCCGCTCCCTCTGTGTGTGGGGGGAGGGAGGGAGGAGGTAGACGAATTTGGGGGGGGGGGCCTCAGTTCCGAAGGCTGGCAGCGTTAGCGCTCACTGAGGGAGGACATGGAGTGGCTCTCCACGTTCCTCGTTAAGAGTGTAGCGCAGACTCGTCACCTGACTTTCCACCTGGGTGTCATCTCTGCTCACTCCTCAGGTCTGTCTGCCTTAGCGCTTCCTGGCACTTTTTCTTCCTAGAACACGTTTGCCTCCTAGAGGGGCAGCCTTCCTCCTGGCGCCTGTCTCGCATGCGCTTCTGAAATCACTGAATGCCATCTGCCCGTGTCTTCTCTTACAGCCTTAAGGTGACACCGGCACCCGGGTGCCGGCTCTGAGCTGGCTAACTAGACAAGGGTGCCATCATAAGGAGGTGATGACTAGCTAGAGCATAGCATCTCACCTCCCTGTAGGTCCGACCCCGGGAGGCAGCCTGGAGTATAAACTCCTTAGACTCACATCATGCTGAGCAGGTGGCTCTCAGGTTCCCAGCAGACGGACGGACGAGGGAAGGCTGTCCCTCTTACCTCTCGGCCTCAGCAGGACACATGCTCAGACCCAGAAAATGAACAGTCTTGTCCTGCCAGCTGGGGCCTCGTGTCTGCAGCCTCCCGACAGCCCCCCTCCAAGCCCACAGTGGCCTTAGTGGCTCGTCTGTGGTTTCCTGACTCGCCCACCGACTTCCGAGGACCAGGTCTTTGACAGTGAGCAGTGAACTTAGAGGAGAATGCGCTCAGCTGGGCAGAGCAGTTGCCAGCCTTCTCACCAGGCTGATCCTTTCTGCCTCCTTAAGGACAGTCTGCCTCTGCCATTTTTCTTGGTACTTTTCTTTTAAAGCTACTTTTTGAGAGAAATTAGCACCTGATTTCCCTAGAAACCTCCTGGAATCAGCTCCATTATGACTGGACCTAATTCCTTACCGGGAGCGACTCTCCGACTCCCAGGCTGAGACGTTGGAAGCCCCGCCCCTCTGTCTGATGCGGTGGATGGCCCATCTCCCCCAGCAAGCAGCTCCTATCATAGCCTCCCCCAGGCCCAGGCAGTGCCCCAGGCTCTCGGCCCCTCGCCTCGCACGGGATGTCGTGACTGACGTTCCCAGCCAGTCGATGCCCGAACCTTCCAGCACGAAGAACGAGTCCCTTTTCTGCTGTCTGTCCTCCTGTGTCACCTGGCAGTTTTGTGATGGAGTCTGTGGCCCCTGCTAAGCTCAGCTCAGGCGTGCGCTGGGCAGTGGGCGCCTGGCAGTGGGCGATCAGCGATGTCTGAGGCCCTTCCTCGGGCTTTCCTGGGCCTCCTGCATCACTTTCGCTCTGTCTTCTGCTAACTCGCCACGCCCGCTCCTGCCTTAGCTCCCACCCGGGTGTGATGGGACTCGGCGACGGTGATAATGTCCCGTCTTTGCCGAGAATCTGGATGAAACACCTGCAGACATGACAGGAAGCTGAGTGGCTCTGACGTCTCCCTCACAGGTACAGTGTCCATCGTCTACCTGACTTTCCTCGTCACCTTGAAGGCTGCTCGCTTGGGGTTTCATTTGGAATTTCACTGGTTTACGCCAACAGAGTTTTTTGTACCAGGTGAGCTTTTCTAAAGTAAAGAATTGATAACGGATTTTTAGGTTCACTCCTTGGACCGGTGCTCTTCTAAGACGAGGAGCGTCTTGCTTACGCTGAGCGTTGTCATGGATGCTGTTAAGCGGAAACAAGTCCCGGGGGCCCTGGCTGGTGGCTCCATTGTTTGGGGCATCGTCCTGCACCCAAAGGTGGCGGGTGCGAGTGCCGCCAGGGCACCTGCCTGGGCTGCAGGTTGGATCCAGGTCAGGGCCCGTGGGAAGGCAGCGGTTAGTGTTTCTCTCCCCCTCCCTCCCTCTCCTCTCTGAAACCAACACACACGCCCTCGGGCGAGAATTTGAGAGTCCGGCTGAAATCACTCTGCTCTTCCCGGTGAGGGGGCACGGGCCCTTTGTCATCTGTGCCTGGGGGGGCTGCGTTCAGGGGACCACGCAGTCAGAAAGTCGAGGTTGCGTTGTCCAGACGTCGCCGAGCAAACGTAGCCCTGGCATTTCAGGGACTTCAGACATGGTCCGTGATGCACATGCGTGGATAGCACTGCTCGTCGCATCGTGGATCCCGTGGGGTTCCCATCGCTGTCTCTCAGGCCGATGTCACTGTTACGTGTGCCCTCCCTCCTTTCTTCCTCATGGTTATAACTTGGCAGTTTCTTAAGTTTCACCCAAATGCGAGGGTTTGGACACGATAAAAGCACCGTGAGGCCGAGGTGGGTCGTGCTGAGTGAGGAGACAGCACTAAGCAGGGGTGGGGAGCGCCTGGCCGGGGCCACAGGAGGCCCAGGACATCACGTGGTCTGGCCCTGCCCTGATGTTAGGTGAGGTAACTGGTGACCAAGCAGAGCAGCTGAGGGGCGTGTGGTGTGGCCACAAACGATGTCATCAATCCCGTGGCTCTTGGCAGAAAGAAGGGTCCCACCCTGGGCTAGAGCGTCCTGACGACAAAGAAGGAGACGGGGTTCGCGGTCGGCTCCTTCCCTTCAGCGCCGACCCACACAGCCGGTCCCCCCTCCACCTTAAAGTGGGGTCTCCCCTCCCCTCGGAACCCCGTCCTCTCGGATTCTCCGACAAAGCGGCGCCTTCTCATGTTTCTACCTCTCAGTGATGGACTTACCCAGGGTTTAGTGCTCAGACCTCTTCTCTCTCTGCCCTGTTCCCTCAGCAACGCCTCCGAGTCCCCTGGCTTTACCTCTTGTCTCCATGGCGACTCGTCTCAGTCTTGTGTTCCAGCCCCGAGCTCTCCACTGACGTCCATCTCATCCCCCACCTGCTGTCCACTGGTGTCTCAGACTGAGCACGGACACAAACCGAGCGCCTGTCTCCGTCCTCCCCCGACCCCACCCGCTTACCCGGCCCTTCTCGGCTTTTCTGTCTCAGAAACGGTAGCTCCAGTCCCCTCAATTGGCCTGAAGCTCCGGAGACCTGCCTGCCTGTTACCACCCCCAACCCCCCCACCCCCACCCCCAACCGTGAGCATGTCCGCTCTGCTGCCGGAGTAAAGCAGGGACCTGGCCGCCTCCTCTCGCTTCTATCAAAAAGAACTCAGTCACGCTGCCAACCTCCCTGGACGATGGGAGCCTTGACTAGTCTCCCTGGGCAAGAGGACAAGAAAACTCCCCAAAATTACACCCTCAACATGTCAACCATGAGACGTTTGGATATTGAGGAAGGAAAGAGGGAAGGAGGGAGTTCTGTCTTGGAAATCAAAACTAGAACAGCGCGGAGTGTAGAGCCGGGATTCCGGTCGTCGGATCTCAGGCCCCCGCCCGCACCCCCATCCCCCCCAGGAGAGACAGAGCAAAGCTCAGCCTCCGGCGTGGAAGCAGTTATGGCAGGAAGCTGTCGTTGAGACTGAGGGTGGCTGCCATGTCCAAGGAGCGTGACGGGGACCGCGCAGCGATGGCAGCCAGAGGCACAGGCCCCATCGGCGTGGGGGGCGGGGGGGTGGCAGGGGGACTGGTGGTGTCGCGTGGAAGCCTGGGACGAGGACGGAGCGGCCGTGTCACCCGAGGCAGCCGCGGCCGTCCCTCCCAGCTCCCGCTTTGCTCGCCGTGAAGAGCATCTGCCCGTTTTCCCGGGAACGTTCGTTAAATGCCCTTCCGCGCGGTCAGAAGTGTACACAGTAGAAATAAGGATTCAGAGAAAAGTGGGAGATGCAGCTAACTTCCCCAGAGTGACTGGAAATCGTGGACGCTTGGATGGACAGATACGTGGGGGAGGGAAGAAGAAAGATAAAACCAGAGCATCACTCAGGTGGCCCAGTGCCCAGCTAAACATACTCCATGGACAAGACGAAACGAAGAGCATAACTTTCTCTGTGTGAAGGGCTCCACGTGCCCAGCTGGGACTGAGACCCGCCCCACAAGCCACCGTCCAATCCCAGGGCCCCGGGGAGGGCAGACACCACAGCCTGCAGCTCCGGGTGGGGGCGGCCTGACAGCTACAAGACACCAGAAGTGTCACGAAGGCTCAGAATAGGTTATTTTCACCTAAAAGTCTAAGCCCTACCACGTTGTCTATGCATCTTCAAGTCTTTTGCCCAATTTTCTGTTTTTTAAATTGATTGATAAGCGTTCTTATGCATTCTAGATGTGCCTCCTGGGTCAGATTTAAGTATCCCCGCCCCCCCCCCCCCGCCCCGCTTTCTTTCTTCTTAACACGTCTTCTCCAGCGAATAAAGTAGCAGCTTGAAAACGATGGTCCGTTTGGGGCTCGTGGAGAGCACGTTGTCAAGGAATCTGTGTTCCTTAATTCCCTGAGCAGTGGTCGTGGGCTCCCCTCGGAATATTTCCCCTCTCGCCCCCACTTTCCGTCCGTCCGTGTGTGTTGTTCAGGCTGCAGCAAGTCCCTGCAGGCACGTGGGTCTTGTCTTTTTAATCCATGCAGCCTCTCGTGTCTGTGTTTGGAGAAGCCAGTCTGTTTACACTGTAACTATTGAAAGGTGTGGCCTTTCTCTGGCCGTTTTGTTCATTGATTTCTTGTGATTCCTTCCTTCCTTCACGATTCGGGGACTTTGAATTCTCACTAAAGAGTTTTCAATTGTTTCTCTAGACTGAGTATCTGAAATAATGTCACATGTAAATAATAACTTCATCCTCTTTCCCAAATCGGTGCCTCGATTGTAATTATATAAGCATAATGCTGCCGTAGAGGTGATGCCATCTTTACTGCTCTCCTTCAGAGTAACTTTGTGTTCATTGCAGAAAACTCAGAGCATAGGGAAGGGTTACGTTAAATAAATCCGTTCGCCAGAGATAACACCCAGCTGCGCTTTGGGCTGGTCCTCCCGTCTTTCCTTGCACGCGCGGTTTTAAGTAAAAGTAAGATCCCGCCACACGTGCTGCTCGGGTCGTGAGCACTCGCCGTAACGTACAGTCCTCCAGAGCGTGCTCTCACGCCGGCGTGTCCCCGACAGCTCGTCTTCCAGAGGCCATTTCCCGCCTTGCCGGCGTTTGCGTCATTTCGGTATTTTTAAGCAACGCTGTGCGGATCAGCCACTAAGAAATGTTAAGTGACCAGTTCTCCCTCCACGATTCCTTTTCTAAAGGTACTTTTTTTCTGGAAAATTAAAGTATCAGGAGAGGGGACTTGAGGGTCCCTCAGAGCCTGCGTTTGAATCTGCTCTGCCACACCCGCCCAGGCGCCGCAGACGGGCCTGTGTGAGGCTCCCTCCCGAGGGGCCGCTCTCCGTGCCGCTCCTTCCCCTCTTCAGGCACTTGCTCAAGTAGAACGAGAGCCTTGGGGGACTTTGTGAAGAGGTGTTTGTATTCTTCCTCCCTTGTCAGACTTATGCTCGTTTTCTAGTTGTGGGTGTTAATGTGGTGCCCCCTCTTCCTCTCCTAGAGATGAGAGCTCGGTTCCCACAGCTGACGGGCGTGCTGACCCTCGCTTTCTTTATCCACAACTGTGTCATCACACTCCTGAAGAACAACAAGAACCAGGAAAACAATGTGAGTAATTACCGAGGCCTGGAGGCTTGCTTCTGGGTCTTAACTTCTAAGTTTAAACCACAGACAATGGTCAGCAGACTTTTCCTGTGAAGATTCAGGTGGTAAGTATTTCAGGCCTTGGGGGCCATGTGGTCTCTGTCCTCCCTGCCCCAGGCCTGTTGTGGCCCGAGTAGCCATGGGCAACATGTAAACAAGTGGTGGCGGCTGCGTTTCAAGGAAACTTTATTTACCAAAGGAACAGCTGCGGATCTCACAGGGGCCACAGTTTGCCAGCTCCGGCCTGAGCAAGCACTAAAAACAGAGGCCAGGCTAATAGCCAGCCATGGTGATGAAAGCTTTAAAAATACCCACGTGATCTGAAAGACAGGAAAAGGGAAAGGAAGACTAGATGGGACAGATAGACAGCACACAGCAAGGTAACAGCTTTAACCCCAGTAACACTGATAATTACATTAAATAAGAATAGTCTAAATATTGCGATCAAAAGACACGGATGTCAGAATGATTTAGAAATCTGCCCCTGTGCTCCCTATAAGAAACTTACTTCCAATAGATGCGCCACAAGGACACTCAACAAGAAAGGTAGAGCAGCTGTTTTCATACCAAGGTAGGCTTCAGAATGCGGAGTATTGCCAAAATAGGGAGGAACATTGGGTAATGACCTTTAGGCATCGATTCGTCAAGAAGACAGAATAATGCTACATACGTGTGCGCCCTAGGACAGAACTTCCCATGATGAGGCAGCAGCTCTCAGAACTGGAGACTTAGGACTCCTCCCTGAGTAACCGAGAGGACAAATAGAAGAGAAATAAGGCACCGGAAACACGAAAAGCACCAGCAGCCTTCGTGGTCTCGTTGCATTTATAAAAGCCTCCTCTCAGACAGCAACACGTGGAACCTTTACCAAGATGGACCATGTACCGAGCAAGTCCCAGTAAATTTGAAAGGATTGAAATCATACCAAGTATTTCTTTGACCATAGTGAAGACATCAATAACAGAAGGAAATTGACAGATATTAAACAACGTATAGGGTGTCCCAAAATTCACACAGGAATTGCAAATCTTGTGTGAATTTTGGGACACCCTATATTCTTAAATAACCAACGGATCAGAGAAGAAATTACAAGAAAAAATAGAAAATGCTTGGAGATTACTGAAATTGAGACAAAACATACCAGAATTTGTAGGATGCAGGTAAGCCGTGCTTAGAGGGAAATGTATAGCTGTAAACACCTATATCAGAAGAGAAGAAAGATCTCCAGTCAATAACCTAACCTTCTACCTTAAGGCTCTGGAAAAAGAAAAGCAAACGAAACCAGAGCGAGCAGGAGGTAGCAGTTACTGCGGCCTTGTCTGCGGATGTGGGGCTCAAGGTGATGGCTTCTAACCATGTAAACAAAGTCACGATGAAGCTCTCGCCGAGGTCCACACGCTGTCGCTGAGCCACACAGGAAGGAAGCGCTCTCGGGCCTCGGGTTCTGAGGAGGCTCCAGGTAGCATCGGGCAGAGGCGTCAGACGGCAAACATCTTCCTCAGTGGAGGGAAGTTAGCTGTCAGTCGCGGGCAGGAACATAGGTCAGGCTCATCGATCTTCATCTTTTCTGTCACCTGGGACATGCGTCTGGCCTGTGGCCTGTGAGGGAGTTGGGGTGGAGTGAATCTGGATTTTCCAAAGTTCCTAACTTGGTGACCTTCAAATTGCCTTGTCTTCCTGTGAAATCACAGTCTGATTTGATACTGGCCCTCAGGGTCTTCATCATCATTAAATATTACAGAGGAGGAGGAGCGTCTCCTGGCCGGGGTGGGGTAGCGCTGGGCCTCCTTCCTGCCTCTCCTGACCGTGCAGACGGGATCTGGTGAACAGGAGAGTGTCCCCCAGGTTCTTCTGGGGCCTTTAAGTTGTCTAACGAGGACACGTTCACTTTCGCCAGGACTCCCTCCTGCGATTGAGTGAGTTAGCTCCCAGGAAAGCCCTACCTGGGCCTCCTCCATCAGCCTTTCTCTCCTCTCCTCCCTGCCTGCTTTCACACGGTCTCGTCGTGCTCAAGAGGGAGCGGCAGACAGAGGTGAGGGCGCAGCGAGGAAACGGAAGCACGCGCTGAGTGGAACCGGGTCAGACACAGACTGGGGAGCAGCAGCGTGGGGGAGCCGCGGGGAGGGTGGCACGGCCCCAGGTGCAGCCCGAGGGGCAGGGGCTGTGCCAAGCTGTGCCAGGCTGCAGCACGAAGAGGAGAGGGCCCTGATGGGAAGAATGAAGGCGCCAGAGCGAGCGACAGGCGCTCCGGGCAGGTCACCTGGGAGGGGCCTCGTACTGCACACACTGAGATGAGGCGGAGGTGTCAGGAGCGATGCCCACGTGGAAGGGAGCATGACGGCTCAGCAAGACGTGGGAGGCGCTGCTCTGTGATGACTGTGCGTGAGGAGGGCCCCCGCCCTCAGCCCTGCCCCCACCTGCCCGCCGACGCCTTCTCCCTGAAACAGGTGGACGTGCTTTCCTGGCGGAGAACAGCCCGGGCCCACTGAGTAAGACGGCCTGCCTGCTTTGCTGACCCTTATGCAGTGTGTACCCTGCTTAGTTCCGTAAAGACAAGTGGAAAGGCTTCGTATCTTACTTCTGCCTCCTGGTAGGAGCCTGGGTGTACGTCCGGCCCGCCAGCAGGAGTGTCTGCTGCTGTCAGGCCCATCTGTGCTCAGCGTCCCTCGTGTTAGTGAAGGCCCCGGGGGAGGGTTTTCATCAGCACCGGCGGGGCGGGGGGGGGGGGGGGGGGCAGGACGCGGGGACTGTGTGTGAGCAGCGCCCCGTGCACGGGCCCTGAGCCGTCGGTGCTGTTGCCCTGGCCCATTCCAGCAGGAAAGGTGTCCGCTGTCAGGAATGGCCCCTGATCCCAAGTGGCCAGTCTTCTCGTCGCGTTAGACAGTGTTTCCTCATCGGCTTTCTTAGCTTTCACAGCAGTTGGTGTTTAAAATGAAAAGTGAACAGGCCTGTTCCTCACTGAGGGGCTGAGCGGCCATGGGGGGCGAGGGCCAGGCCCGTGCCCTGCGGGTCGCTCTGCGGGTCCAGCAGCCGCGGCGCCGACTCGTGCTCGCTGCCCGCTGTGCGTGGGGCGGGAGGCGGGCGCCGCGTGGAGGAGCACGGCCCACCCTGCGCGGCGCCCGCTCGTTGACCGGCCCAGCGTGGCGTGGGCAGCTGTTGGAACAGCTGCCGGTGAGCTTCCTGCTGTTGGCTGTGGAGGAAGCTTGTCTTCGGTGCCCGCTCACCGTCTGCTCTCAGCGTCTCTTCCTTATCTAACACCTTCGGTTCCGCACCAGGCTCTGGTCTGCACAGGCTTTGAAGGTATGGGCTCTTTACCAAACGGAGAAAATGCTAGTTCTGTGGGTCGTCCTGAAAGTGGCTTATTCTTGCTCTCTGGTAGTCCCTTAGCTTCGTTATTTTAGTTACAACTTAATCATTTGGTAAACAATTTGCTTTTTGAACTTCAGCCAGAATTTCTCTCATCTTAAACCACCATTTACGTTAACTTCCTACGTCTGCCCATCGGTAGCTTTGTGTATATCCCCCAGAATAGTGACCACACGTCAGACTGTCAGGCACGTGGTTCTGTTTTACTTCCTGTCTGTGAACAGACGGGACCTAGAAGGGATATGTACACACACACGCACACACACACACACACACACACATGTACGCAGAACGTGCTCACACGTACACACATGCACACACACACACGCACGTGCGAGCACAGCCAAAGGTAGACCTCGTGTGTGCCGGTCTCTGTCCTGTTGGGACGCACTTCCTGCAGGCAGAGCCGCACTGTGAGCTGCTGTCCTCTCTCCACAGGTGAGGGACCTGGCCGTGGCCTACCTGCTGGTGACGCTCACCTACCTGTACATCGGGGTCCTGGTCTTCGCTTCCTTCCCGTCACCGCCACTGCCCAAGGACTGCATCGAGCAGGTGAGGCCTGCCACCCTCCGTGGGGTCAGACCCGCCCTTCGGAGTGTGAGCGATGCTGACCACTGAGCACCCGCAGGGCCAGCGCTTCTCCGATGGTGCAGTGGGAGGTGTGGTGTGAACGTCACGAGTGTGAGTGTCACGGGTGTGAGTGTCACGAGTGAGAGCATCACAGGTGTGAGCGTCACGGGTGTGAGCGTCACGGGTGTGAGTGTCACGGGTGTGAGTGTCACGAGTGTGAGTGTCACGGGTGTGAGCGTCACGGGTGTGAGCGTCATGGGTGTGAGCGTCACGGGTGTGAGCGTCACGGGTGAGAGCATCACAGGTGTGAGCGTCACGGGTGTGAGTGTCACGGGTGAGAGCATCACAGGTGTGAGCGTCACGGGTGTGAGCGTCACGGGTGTGAGTGTCACTGGTGAGTTGTAAAGGTGGCTTCAGCATGATTGTGTTGGTCATGTCTCATTTGGTAAAAAAACAGGTTTGAGTGGCTGCTGTGATGTGAGCCTGGGACGTCCCTCCCCAAAGCCTTTGGCTACCAGGCGTTTGCCGCAAACTCCCCGACGCAACAACCCCTGTAAAGCCAGTCGCCACAAACAGCAGTGTCCGTGGTGTTTTGTTTGAGGCGGCGGGGGTGGGAGGGTGACTAGCTACTTTTTTAAGAAGCCAGACTAACATGGAGAAGAGTCATGAGAGGAAATAGAAACCCTGTTCTATTTGGTGATGGACTGTGAATAGCAGTGACACGGGGACAGACCTGCTCCACCTCCTCTGTGCTCCTGGCTCTGTGGTCACACTGAGAGGGCGGCCATGCCCCAGGCAGGGCGGGCACAGCCTCGGTTCAGTTGCCATTAAATACACGCGGGTGGTCACGTGGGGCCTTGGGAGCAGGCTCCTCCGCGGGCGAGGGCAAGGCTTTTGTTGTCCTGATGCCACATCAGCTGCAGGCTGGTACTTTTTAAAAATATATTTTATTGATGTCAGAGAGGAAGGTAGAGGGAGAGGGAGATAGAAACATCAATGATGAGAGAGAATCATATACCGGCTGCCTCCTGCACGCCCCCCACTGGGGATCGAGCCCTCAACCCGGGCCTGTGCCCTGACCAGGAATCGAACCATGACCTCCTGGTTCATAGGTCGATGCTCAACCACGGAGCCACGCCGGCCGGGCCAGCCTGATACTTTTACGAAGTGGAATAAAAACGTGGGGGTGTGGTATTTCTGTAAAAGTTCCTAAACACTTTCCGTTCCTGGACTCGGCTCGCTGCAGGGAATAGCACAGTCCGTGGCCAGGCCCTGCCCCCTCGTGGCCCCGGCGCTCACGGTGCATAAGGCATCCCACCTCACAGACGGCGCCGAACGTGGTTTTCACACGACTCTCTCTCGCTTGGGCTAGAACTTCCTGGACAACTTCCCCAGCACTGACGTCCTGTCCTTCGTGGCGCGGATCTTCCTGCTCTTCCAGATGGTGACCGTGTACCCGCTCCTGGGCTACCTGGCTCGGGTCCAGCTGCTGGGCCACGTGTTCGGGGACCCGTACCCCAGGTGAGGAGGGCTCCCCCACCAGCAGGCGCCCAGGGCCGGGCCGCGGGGCCTGTGACGGCCGCCTCTGCAGGCCTTTGCCGATGAAATGTCACTGAGGACATGTCTCGGCCCTTCTCCCTGCAGAGCTTTGGAAATAGAACTCCTTGTGCAGAGTCAGTCCCGGTGGCTCCTCCCGGTGGTGGGTGAGGGCTGTGCCGGGACAGTGACCCCCTGACGCAGCTGCACTGACCCGCACGCCGCGGGAAGCTGGAGGCAGAGACCCTGGGCGGCCTCCCTTGAATGAGGCGATTGCTGTCCACTCAGTTACCACAGGCGTGAGCTTTCACACGCGGCCGCTGCCGTCGAAGGCGAGGCACCGAGTCAGTTTAGGGTCTTTGCCTGCGTCACCGTCGCTCTTGGCCTCTCACTGGCGATGAGGAGCTGTGAGGCTCAGGCTCCCGGGACGTCCGTGGGCCCTGGGTCCCCTGCTCGCTCGCTCAGTCTCATCACAGCCATCCTACTAACCAGTCCCAAGGCCTGCCCCGTTTATTGGGAATACGTTATCTTAAGAGAACTTTTGGATAAAATTTGACCAAAAAGATCATGTTTGCAGTAACCAACAAACAAATGGTCTAAATCAGTTCTTCCTTGAGGTGGGCGGCTGCGGTCTGTCCTCCGTTAAACAAGGAACTCGTTCTGAATGTGTTGGTCATAAACCAAAAACCGGCAGCCGGTGCTGGCGGTGCCCGTCCGGGAGGAGGGTTCGGAAATGTGAGTCAGGTGCCGCCGTGTGTGCCCGGCTGCATTCACAGGCCCCGGGACGCAGCGCTGCAGGGAGGCCAGAGGGAAGCGTCCAGGAGGATGCGCTGGCCCTGCTCGCTGCCGCCACCTGCCTGGGGTGGGCTGTGGGCATGTGTTTCCTTCTTGGGAAAGGCCTGGCATTTCCCTTGTGCTCACAGGACGTTCTGCTCCCATCACCAGCGCCACACAGGCGTTACCCCAGCGACAGCCCTCCGCGGACGGCGCCTTCAGAGCCAGCCCTCTGGCGGGCCCTCAAGCATGTCAGACTCGCGGGCAGCGGGCCGCGGGCCTCCTTTATTTCCGCTGCGGGTCTGACATGCTTGCACACGCTTAGGGTTTACTGAGGACCCAGGAACTCCAGTGTGTATCTGTCAGTATTTAACATGCAAGAAAGTAAGACCAAGAGTTTTAAAAATATTAACTTCTTTAAAAAGCACTAATCAAACCACTAAACATCAATAACATGCTTATGAATGATAGCTATTTCCGAAGTAACTTCCGTTTTCATATTTTCAAAACGCTTTAATGCCTGATTTACGATCATTGGGTTCTCTTATCTCCTTCTGAATTCAGACTGTTGTGCTGTGTTGTGTTCGTGTAACTGTATGAAGACAGCGTGCCTGCACACGGACACACAGGGGATCCCGGGTCCGCCTCAGGGCCTTTTCGGGGCTCGGGGAGCCTCTGCCCTGGTCCTCTGCCCGCCTGGCCGGGGGCAGTTCCTCGGACGTCAGCTGTGTCTGACACTCTGTCACCTGGACCCGCTGTCTGTCCTGTGGACATTTCTCCGCGTCCCCCAGGGGTCTGTGACCGCGTGTCTAGTCGTGTGCACGGACGGTTCACCAGGTTCCCGGATCCTCCAGGTGTTGGCACACTCACTAGATGCGTCAGAACACACACCCCTAGTATCACCGCCGGCGAAGGCTCGGGGGGCGATCACCGGCCCTGAAAGTCCTCGCTTGTTCCGGAAACTCCATTTGGTCATTGGCCACACAGACCACCAGTTGTTTTCCTTGACATGACAAGTGTCATTCATTTCCAAGAGTGCCCGGCACATGCCCGTCGGGAGACCTCGCCTGTGGCCCTCAGTGAATGACAGTGCTGTTGGGGGAAGGCGAGGTGTCCCGGCCGGGCTCCCGGCTCCTTATCCAGGACACCCTGGTCTCCGGTCCGTGGCGGGGGCTCCGCGGCGGGGGCCTCGGATGTGCCTCCTGTGGGACGCCCAGAGAGAAGGTGTGTGCCCAGCCGAGTGTGGCACAGCTGGTAACCTTGGCTCCTGGCCCGGGCACTGCCACAGCCTCTCTGAGGGTCTGGCACCGAGGAGCAGGTGGGACCCGCACAGCCCCCGCCCGCCCAGGCTGCGGCCGCACTCTGCCCTCCGTCGCTTTGCAAAGCAGTGATGTCTGGCGTGATTATAAAAATAGCTTCACCTCGGGGATGTCCCGAGGGTGCTGGGAACTCCCCCGGGTTGTGGTTGCACTTGGAGAACCACCACTTCGGAAAAGACACACATTCGTTTCCTTTCGTGACACAAACACAGAAGTAGCGAAGCCCCCCCCCCCCCCCACGTCTCGGACGCCCCCCCCGGAGCGATTCTGGGGCGGAGTTTCTGGGGAGGAGTCAGAGCGGAAGCCTGGGCACCTTTGTCGTTCACTGGGTGTGTGACTCACCGCTTCTTTGTAGGAATAACTTTCTTATTTTTAAGTCTGTGATCATTGTCGGGGATTAACGAACCTCTGACAACTTGGGCTCAAAGTTGCGCTCGTACCTCAGCTTGCGTTTGAGAGTGAACGTGCTGGGGAAACGGAGCGGTTTGTTGAGCATCGGGTCTCATCCACATCGTTCTTCTTTGTGTCCAGATCGACTCCCAGACCCTGCTGGCTTCTGGCCCATGGACTTAGCCGGCATTCTGTTCATGGTAAATGCTGAGCAGCCTCAAGTGGCTGAGTCTGAAAAATAGAATCCTGCCCATTTTCCTTGGTCCTCAGTTTAATGTTTCTAATTATAAAAGTAAAATAAACACCTTAAAGACATGGTGACATATAGACTATTTGTTAAACATAGAAAGCAGAAAAATGACCCCAGATCCCAGATCTTACAGAACCGCCATTGCCCTGCCGTCCTCCCTCTGACGACGCCCGGCGGTTTCGGGGTGCCCGCTGTCACAGTCCCGCCGGCTCTCCCACGTGGCCCAGACGGTGTGTGCCATCTGGGTGCCAACGAGGAGGGTTCTGAGATTTTCACTGGGCTCCGTCTGTCTAGGGCACTGCTGTTCATCACGGCTCTCGCGATGGGACAGCTATTGTCAGGATTTGACTGAGCGGGACTGCGGGTGGGAGCGTGGCCTCTGACACGGCGGTGAGGGCGGGCCCGGCGCCAGCGCTGCCTCTGCCCCCGCGGATGTGACCGTCATGTTCAGACGTCCTGATTTTAGACACGTTAACGGTGAAGGGTGTTCTCGAATCAGTGGTGATAATGTGCCTGTTTTATTTTTATTTTTCCCCCGAAACGTATCACCTAGCATTTTCCACGTGCTGGTCCTGAATCTGATTATTGTGGGAGCTGGCGTGAGCATGGCCTGTCTGTACCCCAACATCGGCGGGATCATAAGGTACTGCTGGGGCTGTGTGCTTCGGGGTGCTCTCTGCTGGGGGCTGTGTGCTTCGGGGTGCTCTCTGCTGGGGGGCTGTGCTGCTTCGGGGTGCTCTCTGCTGGGGGCTGTGCACTTCGGGGTGCTCTCTGCGGGGGGCTGTGTGCTTCGGGGTGCTCTCTGCAGGTGGCTGTGCGCTTTGGGGTGCTCTCTGCTGGGGCTGTGTGCTTAGGGGTGCTCTCTGCTGGGGCTGTGTGCTTCGGGGTGCTCTCTGCGGGGGGCTGTGTGCTTCGGGGTGCTCTCTGCTGGGGGCTGTGCGCTTCGGGGTGCTCTCTGCGGGGGGCTGTGTGCTTCGGGGTGCTCTCTGCAGGGGGCTGTGCGCTTTGGGGTGCTCTCTGCTGGGGCTGTGTGCTTCGGGGTGCTCTCTGCTGGGGCTGTGTGCTTCGGGGTGCTCTCTGCGGGGGGCTGTGTGCTTCGGGGTGCTCTCTGCGGGGGGCTGTGTGCTTCGGGGTGCTCTCTGCTGGGGGGCTGTCCTAGTGTTGCTGCTGTTTCATTTAATTGTGTGAGATTTCAGGGTTTCATACGGGAACGTGCACGTTCTGCTGTCGCTTACGTCTCGTCTTCCATTCTGCTCCTTTCCAACTAGAAACGCCAGGGCCCCTGAGCTGTGGGCACTGCCCGTTCTTTCTCTCGTTGTTGTCTGCTGTGGCCCTTTCTTCTCACCCGAGTGAAAGTGATGTCTCATCCATGTTGTATCATGTCTTGGGCACCCGGAAGGTCTCTTATGTGCCACAGCTGTGCCCTGACTTTCTGCTCAGGAACATGGTCCAGGGAGAAAGGTCCCAGTAGGAGGTGAAGGAGGAGATCTGACTGCGGGGGGTGGGCACACGGTACAATATACAGACCTGGAAACATAGAAACCCACACCTGACACCTATGTGTTCATGCTGACCAGCGTCACCCAATAATTCAATAAAATAAAAAGAACATAGTCCAGTGTCAACTGTCATCAGAAAGGAAGAGTCCAGGTCCCAGAGGGCTCTTTCCTTCCTATTTCCCCAAAGACATTGTGACGTTTGGGGAAACATTGAGTGATGGGGAATCGTGGTGACCCCGAACCTACAGAAAGCAGGGCTGAGTCACTGTCCCAGGGACCTTCCCCGAGAGCGGCGAGCAGCACGCTGCCTGTGGCCACACGGACAGGTTCCGAGTGAACTGTTGCTAGTGAGCCGGAGGCAGTGCCGTTCCACAGGCACAGGTGTGGGCATGTTGTGTACCTTTGATATCGATGCTGAACACTGCGAGGTGGTCATCTGCTCACCTTTAAGGAGATGCACACAGCCCCTCACACACGCAGATGCGTAATTCTATATAATGAAAGGCTAATATGCAAATCGACCAAACGGCGGAGCACCCGGTCGCTATGACGCACACTGACCATCAGGGGGCAGACACAACGCAGGAGCTGCCTCCTGGTGGTCAGTGTGCCAGAAGCTGGGGTCACGGCTGGCAAGTGCAGCGGTGGTAGAGGGAGCTTCTCCCTCCTCCGCGGCAGTCGGACATCCCAAGGGCTTCTGGACTGCAAGAGGGTGCAGGCCGGGCTGAGGGACCCCCCCCCCCCAGTGCACTGATTTCATGCACCCATGCACCGGGCCTCTAGTTAGTTTATAAAAGATCAAAGGGAGAGAGCCCGTCTCCAGACGTTCCTGAGGAAGTCGCCCGGGTTCGCGGGACGAGCAAAACTCTCTGTCGAGCAGATGCCGTAAAGACGAACAGGAAATAATGGCTTATAGTAACTTAGCAGGTGAAATGATTGGAACGCCAGTGCGTATGTCAGCAACAATGGATCCAATGGGCCTGCTGCCTCCGACTGGGGAGGGTGAATTACGCTGTCGTCACCTTTCTTGTAAACCAGAAAAGGCGAAGTGCAGGATGGCTCTTCACCCCAGGCGCTTCCTTTCCAGGTACTCGGGAGCCGCCTGCGGCCTGGCCTTCGTGTTCGTCTACCCGTCCCTCACCTACATCCTCTCCCTCCGCCAAGAGGACCGCCTGACGTGGCCCTCGCTGCTCTTCCACGCCCTCCTCATCGTCCTGGGCCTGGCCAACCTGGTGGCTCAGTTCTTCATGTGACACTCCTGCCGCGCCCGGTCTCCACCCCGTGTGCCAGCCACCGCCGTGCCAGCCAATGCCGCGCCAGCCAACACCACGGAAAACCTGAGAACAAGGGCAACAGCCACCCACTCCCCCTGAGCCGCGTGGCTCCGTGCGGATAGGGGACGGTGGGAACGCTCTGTCTCCACCTGCCTCCTGTCACTCGCCTCCTCACTCTCACTGAGTCCTGAGCGGGAGGCGTGCCCTTGGGAACGTCACGCTGTGTTGCTTTTAGATGTGAGGTGGGCGGTGCGTTTGGTGACAACGAAGACTCTCAGGTGTCCCCGCAGGGACTTGGCTGTTCCAGGGCTCACTGCACTCCCTGCCGTTTTGTCACCTGATAGACGATGGTTGCAGTTTGCCTAAACCTTTACTGTTTGGGACAGTAAACCAAATACCTCATTTTCTAAAAAGAAGTCTCCGTGGCATCAGTGTTAATAGACTGAATTTTTAACCATGAAAAAAGAAAGAAAAAGAAAATGTCACGAGGCCTCACGGCCACGAACTTTATACAAAATAAACAACTAATGGAGTTTGTTGCTGTCTGACTTCTCTTTTGTTTCCATTCTGGTGACTTAGATCAAAATTCTAGTTCCCCAAAGTCGAGTGTGATTGCCCCATCGCCCGGGGGGTGGGGGGGTGTCTTCTGCCCTTGGGAAGAGGGTCAGGGCAGGGCCAGCGAGAAGAGGGGAGGAAGCAGAGCCACAGGCCCCAGGGGAGAAGGGCTGGAGGAGGGAGGTCTGCCTCCCAGTGTGATTCATTCCCACGGGCAGGGCTGGCTCTGGGTGAGGGGTGCCTGCAGGAGGAGACCCCCACACGCTTGTGTCACTGGCGGCGTATTTCAGCGAAGCCCTCACCTCGTCCACAGGCGCAGACGTACACCGAGGACGGTTCCCCAAAGCTCTTGTGTAAAAGGTCTCATTGGGAACGTGCCCAAGCAAACGCACAAGCAGACAGTCACAGGCTGACACCCCCGAATGCCAGCCCCGGATTTAGTAGCGATGAGAGGCGGAACCTGCTCTACGCACCCGTGTTCCTTTCCCCCAAAATACTTGAAGCCACTCGGTCGGTTTGTCGTTTCACCTCCACAGTCTTACAAGGCGCTCACAAGCCTCTGGACGGCTGTACCTGGCGGCGGAGGCAGTCAGGGAGGGGTGGTGGCGGGACCAGCGGGAGAAGCGGGTGGGGAGAGGCGCCCCATTTGGGTCTGGCTCTGTTGACCTGTCTCAGCACAGGTGACGGGAGCACGCATGTCTGTGCTGGGCAGTCCCTGCTCCGCGCTTCCGTCTTGTCCGTCAGAGCCCTGGGAATCGGACGCCGGGGGCTCCTTGAGTCTCGAAGACTCGATCCCTGCTCACCCCAGTGGCCTCTCTCATCTCTGAAAACGAGTTTTCAGCTCTGGCTGGTTTTGCTCGATGGTTAGAGCATCAGCCCGAGAACTGAAGGGTCCAGGTTCGATTCCCAGTCAAGGGCATGTACCTGGGTTGCTGGCCCAGGTCTGGGCATGTGCAGGAGGCAACCAATTGATGTGTGTCTCTCACTTCGATGTTTCTCTCTCCCCCTCTCCCTTCCTATTTCTCTAAAAACCAGTAAAATATTTTAAAACTAAATCTATAATAATAAAAGCATAATTTGCTAATTAGACCAGACATCCTTCCGGACGACCTTACGGCTGAAGCAGGTGCCCGAGGGAAGCCGGTGCCCCAGCCAGGGGAAGGAAGGCCTGCTCTTGCACGAATTTCATGCATCGGGCCTCTAGTGAATAAATAATAAAACTTGAGTTGGCATGGCCTCTTGTCAATACGCTTGACGGTTTTCACACACGGAAACATGGTTTGATCTGTTCTTGCCCATTGAATGACCAAAGTGAACAGGACAATGAATGTATTCGTTACTGAACAAAAAGGCAACGTGGGCATTTGCTTTTTGTTTTCTCCGAAAGACTGTGAAACCCGACTCGGGCTCATGCTGAATCGCGCTGCCTTCTTCAGTTTCTTGTCCTGAAAACCACCCCGGCCTGGGGCTCAGCCTGGCCGGCCCTCTGTGCGGTGGGTGTGCCTGGCGCCCGCGTGAGGCTGAGGGACACGGGCTCATTCAGACCCCCGTGATGAACTGTGGACTTTCTCTGCCATCATCGCTCCGCATTTTCTAATTCCGTTTCTTTTACTTTTTGCTCTGATGTGGTTAACTTTAGTTTCTGTGGATTTAGCTTATTTAACACACAACTGAGGACATTATAAAGTTAAAGTGGGTTTTCTGGAGAAGTCCTCCTCCGAGAGGCTCTGGGTGGGTAGAGGTCGGCTGGCCCCGATCAGAGGACACACACTGACACGATCAGTGACCATCCCACCAGCGTCGTCACCACCCCGAGAGGTCCTGGAGAGAGAGTAACCCCACCGCCCAGGGGGCACCTTAAAGGGAGTCTTTCTTGACAGTCAGTGTATTTACACACACAGTCCGCTACTCCGTGGGGCGGAGAGGTTTTTGTTTCTACTTGGAGTTCACGAGGAGAGGTTTTGTCTGTGTTTTGATTTATTTTCATAAATAACTGAGGGAACTGTCAGTGCTGGGAGGACACACAGGTGTGGAGACGTTCATGTCACGGAGGACGTGCGATCCAGTGGCGGCGCCGTGTGCATGGTTGGCTGTGAGCAGGGGCTGCTGGAGACAGACACTGACCCTCCCAGTGGGCACTCGGCGGTGGCTGCGAGAGGCGCCGGGACCACGCGAGTACCACGCCAGGACCACGCCGGGACCACGCGAGTACCACGCCAGGACCACGCTGGGACCACGCAAGTACCATGCCAGGATCTCTGTCACACGTCTCCTAGCGACCACCCAGAACTTCAGACCCTGATGCATCACCTCAGGAGGCTCTTGTGGAAGGGCTGCCTTTATTGGCGAATTCCGTGGAAGACGAGTTTCACGAGGCATGTTCCACGGCTTGTCTGCTGTGTTGTCCTCTCTGCGTCTTTAGCACTGCGAGACTCCCTCGGTGCCTCTTGGCCGGCAAAGCACACTGACTAGTGGGGGCACAGCAGCCGCACCGCGGGCAGGGCAACCTGGCTGATGCCACGGAGCCTCCTCCGAAGCCTACTGAGCGCTGAGCGTGGCAGTGGCGGGCGCTCCTGCTGAGCAGAAATCTCGAGGCTGCGTGTTTTCTGCACGGAGGCCTGGCCTGCTGACTGCCAGAGCCCGGACGCGGGGGTGGGGGGGGGGGGCGCTCTCTCCTCCCAGTTGCGTGCCCCACACGCTGCCCCAGTCTGCTTGACACCTAAACTGCAGAACTGCCATCGGGTTTCTACTTAAAGTGAGATGCTGGCCCGTCCCCGGGGACTGCGCCCGACCTCCCTTCGGATCCTGTAAACGCACGCGTTGCACAACGCCTGGCGGGAACCTCGTAACCCACAGGCTCCCGGGAATGTCGTGTGTTGTTCTTTAATGAGAGAAATGCAATCAACATTGATTTGAAGAAAAACAACTCTGGGATTTTGTTTAATTGCGTTTTGCTGGGAAATGCTGGGAAATGGGCAAGAAAGCAGCTGAAGTTCATCATCCTTCTGCCAGGCCTCCCCAGGGACAGTGTGTGTCCCATCGAGACATCACGTGACGGCCGCCTCTGTCCCCCGGCTGGGCCGCCTCTGTCCCCCGGGCACCTCTGTCCCCCGGCTGGGCTGTCTCTGTCCCCCGGGCACCTCTGTCCCCCTGGGCACCTCTGTCCCCCCGGGCACCTCTGTCCCCACGGGCACCTCTGCCCCATGGCCGCCTCAGTCCCCCAGGCACCTCTGTCCCCACGGCCGCCTCTGTCCCCCAGGCACCTCTGTCCCCACGGGCGCCTCTGTCCCCCAGGCACCTCGGTCCCCCCGGGCACCTCTGTCCCCACGGGCACCTCTGCCCCATGGCCGCCTCAGTCCCCCAGGCACCTCTGTCCCCACGGGCACCTCTGCCCCATGGCCGCCTCTGTCCCCCTGGCACCTCTGTCCCCACAGGCGCCTCTGCCCCATGGCCGCCTCAGTCCCCCAGGCACCTCTGTCCCCACGGGCACCTCTGCCCCATGGCCGCCTCAGTCCCCCAGGCACCTCTGTCCCCACGGGCACCTCTGCCCCATGGCCGCCTCAGTCCCCCAGGCACCTCTGTCCCCACGGGCGCCTCTGTCCCCCAAGCACCTCTGTCCCCCAGGCACCTCTGTCCCCACGGGCGCCTCTGTCCCCCAAGCACCTCTGTCCCCACGGGCGCCTCTGTCCCCCAAGCACCTCTGTCCCATGGCCGCCTCAGTCCCCCGGGCGCCTCTGCCCCACGGCCGCCTCTGTCCCCACGGGTGCCTCTGTCCCCCAGGCACCTCTGTCCCCCGGCTGGGCTGTCTCTGTCCCCCGGGCTCCTCTGTCCCCCCCGGCCGCCTCTGTCCCCCGGGCACCTCTGTCCCATGGCCGCCTCAGTCCCCCGGGCGCCTCTGCCCCACGGCCGCCTCTGTCCCCACGGGTGCCTCTGTCCCCCAGGCACCTCTGTCCCCCGGCTGGGCTGTCTCTGTCCCCCGGGCTCCTCTGCCCTACGGGCGCCTCTGTCCCCCGGCTGGGCCGCCTCTGTCCCCCGGGCACCTCTGTCCCCCGGGCACCTCTGTCCCCCTCGGGCACCTCTGTCCCCCAGGCACCTCTGTCCCCTGGCTGGGCTGTCTCTGTCCCCCGGGCACCTCTGTCCCCCTCGGCGGTGAGTGTGGAGAAAGGCCTGCAGCCTAGTTGGGGGAAGGTCCTGTCTGCCTGGCAGACGGCTTGTCCTGTAATAAGAGATGGAATGAGCCCCTGAGGAGGCGGTGAGGGGTGTGCCTGGGATGAGGAAGTGCGGCCCAGCGGAGGGCCACTGGAATTGGACTTGTGGTGACCAGTTGGGGAAGGAGAAGAGCCTGCATCCCTGCTGGACGTGAACGTTCACGCCTGGAGGAGCCGGTGCCCGGCCCGTGGCCCCCTGAGCCCCGCCCTGCAGCCCTGCATCCTCAGCCCTTTCCCACCGCCCGGCTTCCCTTTCCTCTCATTGTCAGAATCACCGACTCACTTCCTGCTCAGAGGCTGGGCTGGCAGCCGCATCTGGCAGCGCGCTGACCGGCCCGGTGCCCACGGGGGCAGGGAAAGTGCCGGAGAGGCACAGGGCTGGCCGCTGGCGCCGGCTTGGCCGCAGGCTCACCGGGCAGACCCGCTGCAGGACCCGAACCGGCTTCTGGACCCTGCGTTTCTTCCTTTGCAAACGCGGGCGGTTCTACTATGGCCGCTCCCGCCTCAGAGCAGCAGGGCACTGAAGCACCTCATTCACTGAAGCTCGCAGGTGCCCAGTGAGGCGTCTATGGCTATGTCCCCGGGACGCCCCGCGGCCCGCCCTCGCTGGCGCTGGCGGAGGAGCTGCTGGGGGAAGAACCTCATCTCCCTGTAGCTCAGATCAGGGCTGTCCTGGGAGCAGAGACACCTGGAAATCGTAGCAACGATTGGCGTTCGTTACATCACAAAAGTGAGGACTGTTTAGTCCCAATTTTATTGGCAAAACCGTGACTG